CCCCAAAACCCCAAAACCCCAAAACCCCTAAATGACTTATAATAAGAATTTTGTTGAACATAATGAAATTAAGATAAAATTGGAAATATAATCAGGACTAAGTCACTTTAAGTTCATGATCTTATCAGTGAGGGAACAGTCAAAGATTTAGTTGAGTCAAACTAACTATGAGTAATTATCTCACTTGAACATTGTGATTATCATAGTTAGCAGATTTAACGCCAGCAAACCATATATTGCCATTGTTAGCTTCTACACATTAACTCTGAGTTCTTATATTTCTTTTTACAATTCACTGCCATTTATCTACTACATCTAAGGTAGATTGGCTAATTGCTACTGTTGAATCTATACTTATGGGATATCTATTTATTGATCCTATTATATTTACACTTGATTATTTGGTTCTTTATTACTTTTGCCTCTAGATTTTTTCTCTTTCTTTTGTATTTTTGGCTTAGCTAATGGTTGTTTAGGCAGTGACTCCCATCTTTCCTTTAAATATTTCTTTAGCTCTATCACTTTAGAAATAAGACTCTCCTTATAGGGGCCTGTACCATAACACTCTCTAAGAGAGCTTTCAGTTTCTTTTACCACAGTGCCCTGAATGAACCTGATAGGTTTTATGATATTTATCTTGAACTCAGACTTAATTGATAGTTTAGGTTAGAATTCTCCTGAGGTTGATGCATTATCTGATTATATAAGAGTCATTTTATATTCAATTGTAAAACTATCGGCATATGGAAAGCCTTCGTTTGCTATCACACCTCTTCTGATAATCATTCTGGGAGATATCAAGTAATTATCACAAGTTATCATACATTTATTAGTCTTCGGTTGCATGAACTTTGGTTTCTCAGTGCAATGTGTGAGATCTAATTTGAATTAACAAGACAAAGGCCAGCTTTAGAACTCACTTGGCAGAGGTTGTGGAACCTCTGATCTTGAAAAATAGTCAGGCATATTTAGGGACTTCACATTGAAGTTTAAGTCGATATTTGTAAGTGGATACTTTTCAAGCCATTCAGCCAAGCTTAAGTTTTCCAGATGTGGCCACTTAATATCGAAGTTTATAAATACCTGTGCAAAATGCTTCAAGCTGCAGTCAATAGTCTCATCTATCATCAAAAGATTAAACTTATCAAAGTCTGGAATTAGCTGCTTTACTCTGTTTAGTCTCTCATTCTCCGCGCTGGTAAAAGCTGTATCAATGTTTAACTTAGCATTGTCAAAGATGAATGTATCAGCAGCTGGCTTACTTTCCCCTTCACCACCTTCATTATTTTTAGGGTCATCATTCTCATCATCTTCTTTAATCTCCTCATCATCTCCCTCATTGTCACTTTCACTGCCACTGTCGTTCCCACCTTGATTAGATTAAGAGGGCAACCCACTTTTATCTTCCATGCTACCGCATCTACTGCCTTCGGCACTAGGAGGAATAACCCCATTTATTATCTACAATTATTTCTAAATTAAATCAACAGCTACATCTCTGTACACAAAACTGGTGAAAAATATCTCCTTATCCTCTTTAGTGGTCACTGAAATCGAATTGTCAAAAACCATAGCGTTTGTCTTCTTGTTTATTCTAAGCACGTTTGTGTAATATATTTAGATCTTGGTTTCTTTACCAAACAGAGTCTTATCATTAAAGTAGGAATGGAAACATATTCTCTTAGTTGTAAGATATAGTCTGCCTTGTAAAAGTATTTTTTGATTAAGTGCGCATGCAAATGACTCCAAAAACTTTTCATCTTACTCAAGTTTACTGAATTTCTCAAACAAGAACTTAGAATTGGGAGTTGCTTGCATTAATTCTTAGTGACTTGGGGATATCTAAGCATTTTTGAGTTTTTCAATTTCCTTCTTGAGATCTTCATCCACCTCTAGCTCTTCCTTAATCATGTATTAGTCAAGTTGCCTTTTATATGGACTAACTCCATTTGACTTAGTGCCTGTCATTTGAACTTGGAATGATTTGCTTCCTTTATTAGCAACAGAAGGCCTCAGATTCATATTAGACTGTCTGGGTTGCCTCATTTGATCATTTTAAAGCAATTCAGATTGAAATAACTTATCCTAATTTATCCTGATTGACTATAGTTCTTCATCAATCTCACCCATCTGCTACTTCTCCTCCTCGATCTCATTATACTACTAGAAGTTGGGAGATTTGAACCCGCTCCTATCATCTTGATCTTGTCTGCCTTGTCTAGTTTGGGATTAGTTTCTTGAATTAGAGGATGCATTTGAGTTCCTTCTTTATGGTGTAGCATTTTGACTCTTGTTATTAGTATAGCTATTCTTTGAATCAGTGTTTTGGTTATTAATTGACAACTAAGCAGCATCAAAGCTCTCGGCTCTATTCTACTGCTGTGAACTGAAGTTATTATTTAGTTGTTGTGAGGTAAGTGATAGCTACTGATTTTGAGAGTTTGGCTGCTGCCCTTAAGACCGAACACTCTAATCCTCATTGAACTCATCGTTTATCTTACTGCCTGTGTAGCTATTGATTTATTCAATGTCCTTTTCTTGCTGTTGCTAGACGAATTCTATCTGATGCTTGTTCATAATCTGGCACTTGAATTGCTCATAGATGTTATCAGTGTCCATAATCTTAACATACTATAGAAAATCCTTGTTTAGTTGCTGCTGATTATTCAGGAATGTCTCCTCAAAGCTAGTCAAGCCACATACCACTCCATAGATCTACCTAATATGAGTGATCTATGAGTCTTTGAAGGTCTTAACCAACTCATACTGCTGATCTATTGAGAGCAAGAGCATGGCTTTGAAATTATTGTAGGTTTCCTTGAGCACATCTGTCAATTACTAATATTCAATCATAAGTGCCTAAAATTGGGTATTCTGACGATCATCATTCTTATTTGAAAAATTCTGAGAAAGTTACTGAGAAATCTTAACTAGTTACCGTTCAAACTACAAAGTCTACTTGCCAGTTTTCTCATTAGTAATCATTAGGTCTCTGGAGATTCTTTAAATGCCCTGCTGGAAAGTCTTCTCATCTGATTTATAGTTCTTCACTATTTATTCTAACTTCCCAACAAGAGTTTCAATGTACCTTTAATAATTGACGTGGTTTTTCTCTTTGATCTCAGCAGTTCTCAAAAGTTCAAACACCGCGCTCTAGAATCCTCCAAGTTGCAACTCCTTCTTCTTTTTATCGCTAAGCATTATCTCCTTAAATTACTTACTCATGTTTTTCTCTATTTGACTCTGCTCAGTAATGAATTAAAGCAAGGCAGTTAGATATTTAGTCCATTTATCTGTCACCTTGCCATAAAACTCAGCAGTGTCGCTTACATACTGGCAACATGGAGCCATCTACTAATGATTAATAGCCCCTTCTGGCAGGTCCTAGATCTTTTACCGTGCGAATTTAAGATCGATCTTGTATGATTGATCCTCAGCTGCCTTAATATCATAGCGCATTTCTTGCCTAATTTAGAAATTTTTGATGTTCTTAGCTTTATCTGGTGCAAGCAAATTAAGACTGTCGTAATGAATCAGCTCAGTATTCACAGTAGTCTCAAACATCTTCCTCACACTCTGCGCTGCTGAATCCACCAAGAGTCCGTGCTGCTTAGTCAATTTTTCAAGCACGTCTAGGAACTAATGATTCTTCTGGTTTAAGTCCTGTAATACATTCTTGTATTTTAACTTCTTTTCTTCCATTTCCTGGACTGATCTTTAAGCCCTTTCTTCATGCATCTGCTATACCGATAAGTTATACATCAAATCTGGATCTTATTTAACACTCTTCATCTTTTAAACAACTTCTTAAGCCTCTTTGCTTGATTTCTCATAATCGGTTTTGAGCTTCTCGATTTGCTAGTGACTCAGCTAGGCTTTGGGGAGAATCTTAAGTGATTCTGTGGCATAATTACAATCTCTGGCATCATTCATAGTCTTATAGACCTCATTGAAATAGCTATTAATCTCCACCTGCACATCGTTGTAGTTCTGAGAGAAAAGCCTGCCAATAGTCTCGAAAAATGATGAGAGTTAAAGGAGTAAGGTAAACAGATCCTTGCTATCTTGTCCGGGGATGTTAATCTACACTCTCATCCTTTCTCCGTTAAACATCAATCTGTCCCCATATTCCTTATAGAACTTAAGGTTCTTCGGAATAATTTCTGAAAACACTCTAAGGGCTGTTTGAATCTCCTACTCTTAATTCTGGATGCTTTGAATCAAATCCTTCTCTGACTGAAACGGTTTGTAGTTATCTTTGGTTATCTACTGTTGCTATAGACTTTAACCTTAGTTACTACTGGATGATTAGATAGAAGTCATTTTGCGTACTTTTATTATATTACCAATACTTCCAATTAGATATAAATTAAACTTATGCTTTTTAAATTCATCATGCTTAGGAGTCTTCGGGGTTTTGGGGTTTTGGGGTTTTGGGG